CCCCAAAACCCCAAAACCCCAAAACCCCTTTAGTAAAAATGTGATTGTATTTAAGGAATTTTTAATATCTAATTATTATTAATTTGCAGTATCTAATATAAGATGACCTCAAGACCAGTAGTCAGCGTATATTCAAAGGACGGATCAGCTGAAGTTGTAGACAGCCTCCCAATGCCAGCTGTATTCACTGCCCCAATCAGAGACGATATCGTTCACTTCGTTCACACCAACATGTCCAAGAACAGAAGACAAGCTCATGGAGTTTACCACAAAGCTGGTATGGAACACTCTGCTGAGTCATGGGGAACTGGAAGAGCCGTCGCAAGAATCCCAAGAATTGGAGGTTCAGGTACCTCTAGATCAGGTCAAGGTGCTTTCGGTAATCAGTGCAGAAAGGGTAGAATGTTCGCCCCACTCAAGACCTACAGAAGATGGCACAGAAAGATCAATCTCAACCAGAGAAGACACGCCGTCGCCTCAGCTATTGCTGCTTCAGCTGTCACCCCTCTAGTTCTCGCCAGAGGCCACAGAGTTAACAACGTCCCAGAGCTACCACTCGTTGTTGAGAACCTCAATGCTGAGACCACCAAGACTCTCCTCAAGACCCTCGTTGGACTTGGTGCTGGAGAAGATCTTAAGAGATCAAGACAATCAAGAAAGGTCAGAACCGGCCAAGGTAAAATGAGAAACTCAAGATATGTCCTCAGAAAGGGACCTCTTGTTGTTTACGGTGATGAGAACAACCTCGTCAAGAGAACCGCCAGAAACCTTCCAGGTGTTGAGACTGTCAATGTTCACAGACTTAACCTCCTCCAACTCGCCCCAGGTGGTCACCTCGGTAGACTCGTTATCTGGACCAGAGATGCCTTCAAGGCTCTTAACAAGATCTTCGGAAACTACAGAGCAAAGGGTATTGAGAAGAGCGGATACGTTCTTAACAGAAACGTTATGACCTGCGCTGATCTCGCCAGAATCATCAACTCTGATCAAGTTCAATCCAAGCTTAGACAAGTTAGATCCCACGTTGTCCTCCACGACAAGCAAAAGAAGAACCCACTCAAGAACAGAGGTCTCATGCACAGACTCAACCCACATGATGCCGTCAGAAGAGCTGCTGAGAAGAAAGCTGAAGAAGACAGACACACCAAGAGAGTTACCAACGCTAAGGCCAACAGAAAGGTTACCAAGAAATCCAAGGCTGAGAGAAGAAAGGCTTTCATTACCCTCCAAGAAGGTCTCCAAGCTTCATTCAAGCATGCCGAAGATATCCTCCTCCAAGAAGTCAGAGAAGGTCAAGATGTTGCTGAGGAAGAGAGCGAAGACGACGAATGATCAATCACCCATTTATGATACTGAGTCATTCTAGTCTACCTCAAGGTAGCTAATCAATGTTAAAATAAAACTTAAATATAAATAATAGTTAGCTCCAACAATATATATAAATAAATATCTAAATAATCAATATGTTAAATTATCTCGATGTTAATGAACTATTATTTCTTAAATGTAATTCAAAATTAAGAAGCGTGATAATTGATTGCAAGAAAAATTTAGTTTGTGAAAAAAGTAGTGCGACATGTGAGGCTCGAACTCACGACCTTCAGATTATGAGACTGACGCGCTGCCAACTGCGCTAATATCGCTACTTCATACTCTTACCTTCAAGATTCCATTATATAAGTCTCTCATGAATTTAGGTTTTATCTTTTTCTGTATATGATCAACGTTCAATAAAATGAACCTACTTTCAAATATTATCAAATTAATGAATCTTTTTTTCACAAATTTCAAATTTTAAACGATGGGGTTTTGGGGTTTTGGGGTTTTGGGGTTTTGGGG